CACCGACAGCCGACGGGCGCGGGGGAAAGGTCTTGCCGGCCGTTGTCTGCGGCACGGGGCTGCTGCCGGGCAGAGGATTCTCCGGTGACGCGTCCACACGTCCAAAATAGGAGTACTTTGAGGACGCGGCGCCGCCGGCCTTGGGCGGCGCGTCCACCTGGCGTCAGGACGCGCCGTGAGTATCTCGCGCGATCTCGGAGGGCGAGTCGGAGAGAAGGGGAGGGTCGACGGAGGCAGGGCCGCGGCCTGCTCGAGCGCGCGGGTGCGCTGCCGCCGCTGACGGGCGTGTCCACTGCGGGCGCAGAGAGTCCAGGTTGTGAAGGGGCAGAGGGTCCCGCTGTCCCGCGCGGCCACTGTCGTGCCTTGCGGCGTATCGACGCTAGAGGGTGCGCAGCGATTGAAGAATCGCGTCAGTGAGACAGTGAGACCAACGACCGGGACACCGGCACGATATATGTGTGTATGTTGTCACACACTTTGTTGTGCTCTCCTGCGACATGCCTAGTGCCATAGGACCAGCCTTTTTGTAGAGTATTCCTTTCACCCCTCCCCCTCGGGGCCCGACGGTACAAACTGTATTTCCTTTCCCCACGTACAGCTACAGGGCTGGGTGCAAACTTGACGCGATGACGCTGTAGAGCCGTACGTACGGCATTACTAAGCATTACTAAGCAGCGCGTGACGAAGCAGCTTGGCGCGTGTGCGTGACAAAGTAGATGTTTTGGCATTCAAAGCGCAAGGCAGTGCACGTGGGTGAGCAGACCCTGCACCCCACTCCCTCCCTTCTCCAGACACAGCCCATAGAGTAACAGTAGGACTTTTGACTCTTCTTTTTCCGCTACTCCCTCTTGAGCACACTTGAGCACTGGAAAGGGTTGATTCCAGGTCGATTCCGCATGGTACGGAGTGATTCTGAGATCAGGTTTGTCGTTTCCTCTTTGGACGCCTCCCCCCAGAGTAGGAAGGGGAGAAAGTAGGCATTACGTCGCGCCTCCTCAACGAATGATGCTCGACTTGTTCGTTGCGACGCTCCCATCTGCGGCCCCAGCCGAGCGAAAAGCGATTCATTGGACCGAACACGCTTTGCCGCTGCTATAGGGCTCGCTGGCAAGTCCTCAGGCGCGTGTGGTGAGGGCAAGCACCACCGCATAGTTTCATTCGCTCTCGCGCCTGCTTGCTGGCGACCTCAAGAACACATCGCGACACTGCCACGGCATGGTGACTACTCTTTTTTGAAGGTGAGAGTGAAACCCGAGTACGCACAGCACGTGCGAGTCGCGACAGACAAGGCGCGGGCGCGACGGTGCACCAGAGAAAGATTTTTGCAAAACTCCCTCGCACGAGACTGGCGCGCACGGGCACTAGCCCTTCGATGTTGACCCTCCCCCACCACCACTCTCCCCGGACGACGCCGCTCTCGCATCTGAGAACCCATCTGCCATGGTCTCTCTCTCGATACACAACACGCTCGCCAACTTTTGGCAACAAGGCTTGACTCCATCGCGCACTACCGGGTACCCCGGGGGTAGAGCACTTGGAGTGCAGTGACCGCCTGGACGGACGGAAAAACACCCCCCTTTTATGCCTGACCCTGGGCACGGTCGGCCACCTCCGGGTCTGCAACTCGCACGGTGGGTCCGCGTCCGGGCGAGCATCCGAGGCCCGCGGTTGTCCTTTCGCTGGGCGCGACCGCCATGGAGATCCACTGCACACAGATCAGTGCTTTTGTCGCCTACTGCTCGCTCTCAGTGCAATCGCAACGCCAGAGGCCGTGCTTGGAGAGTGTGTCGCAATGCTGCTGCGGCAGCGGATTGAGCCGCGGCGCAGGCTCCATCGGTGAGCTGCGGCGGCGCGCCGGCCGCTTCATGCATAGCTCGCCGGCGAGCGGCCGCGAACGCGGTTTCCGTCCGCCCGTTTCATCGAGTTTGCCCGATTGGTAAAATGCAATCGAATTTGCCCGAGTGGTAAAGTGCAACTTTGGCATTTGGTAAAAGTTGCCCGAGTGGTCTGTGGGGAAAAAACCAAAGCGCAGGGGTGGCCCCAACAGCTAAAGGTCAACATCCCCTCCGGCTACGACAATGTGAAGCTGATCTGGTCCTCACGGGGTTGACAAGTGCAACTTTGGCATTTGGTAAAAGTTGCCCGAGTGGTCTGTGGGGAAAAAACCAAAGCGGAGGGGGGGGCCCAACAGCTAAAGGTCAACATCCCCTCCGGCTACGACAATGTGAACCTGATCTGGTCCTCACGGGATCGACCCGTCTCCTCCAGATCGAGACGGACTTCGTTGTTGTTCGGACTTCGTGAACGGAATTTTGACAATTAACCAGATAGACGGCGGATACAGGGGGAGGCTGTCTGAAGTGATCCGGGTGGCTATGAGTCTTTGTGTGTGTAATACGCCTCCGAGTTGCTATGAGTCTTTGTGTGTGTAATACGTCTGTAGACGCGGCTGAGGAAGAGGTCGGCGGTGCGCCCGCTGGGCGGGCAGGCCTTGAAGAACTTGGTCAGTGAAGTACGAGTGTTGAGGCCGCGCGCAGCAGCCTGGATCTTGGTGATGAGGAGCATGATGATGATGGTGCCCTTGCGCAGCAGGAACGCGCGCATCGCGCCCGCTGAACGCGGGTCGCTGCGGCGTCCTGTGCGAACCCCAGTCGGATGTTCCGCAGCGTGGAGGTCACAGCCGCGATGTCGTCATGCCCAGCAGCCACCCCAGCCTCGCCAAAGTCGCCAGCGAGATTGCGCAAGCCCGGCATGAGTGAGTGAGTGAGTATTCTTGATTCGAAACCACGACGACACACACCAGTCGACTCGCATCGGTTGCCTCCATGAACGGCGGAGCTATTCTCGCGCCCACACCACACCTGGCTCCAACGTGGACACGCCCATAGCTGGGGACACTACTAGGTCACGCATGGCATCAGAAGTTTTATCTCTGGGCCCCGAAAGGCATCTCTAGCAGCGTCGTTACGCATGCGCCCTCCCCTCCTGGGCGCATGCGCCTCACGTCTCGCCAGAGCATAAGCCCTTGGCGTGTGGCGAGACGAGTTTTTCGCCATGCAGCGAGCAGCAAGCCGCCCGCCGCAAACAGCCGGAGGCATCGCCACGGCACTGGCTGCGCCGCGGTCCCGCACCCGTCGGCGAAGCTCCCCCCGCGGAAGACCGCGCGTAGCGACGCCTTGACGATCGAGATGAGCGCGCTCCAAGCTTGCCCACCTACTGCCCCTGAGAGTTGGTTATTGAGTGGGATCAGCTCCCCCCCTTGGGATCGAAGCCGCCACAACCTCACACCCAACATCCCAGGCGGGATCAGAAGGGGACTCCACACCGGACACCGCCCGGGCACAGCCCCCCTACCCGTCGGATCGCACAGAGGGCCCCCTCGGAGCAGCCCACACACAATCACGCATCGGCAGATGAGCGCCTGAGTCAGGCAGACAGCAGACAAGGAGAGAGAGAGGAGAGAGAGAGAGAGAGAGAGAGGAGAGAGGAGGGGTGAGGGTGTGAACACACGTGTGGAGCAGGGAGGGTGTCTGTGGTGGGCTGTAGTCCTACTACGTGGTTAGAACCACGCGCCCCTCAGGAGCTTAAGGTAGAGTGGTGCGTCCAAGACGCCTCGGTGCCTCCCACCGGCGTGAAGACCATCCGGATCTGCCGGGTTCGCCCTCCGGACGGACCCGTCCCCGCGATGGCCCACGGTCCTCCGTCGCCTGGTTGGCCCCCTGCCTCCCTGTTGACCCCCCAGTCCTCGTACTCGACCATTAAATAAACTCAAAGGTCCACCACAGCCACCACCCTCCGCCTCCACCGTCGAGCCGCAATCGCTGCCGCCCGCCACGCCGCCCGCCGCGTCAGATTGCCGCGACGCGCGCGCCGAGCCGAGTCGGTGAGCCGCGCCGCACCAGCAGCAGCATCAGCACCAGCACCAGCATCACCACCAGCAGCAGCAGTACCAGAGAGAGGCGCGCACCGCCCGACTCCGCCCGCCGTGTCAGATGCTCGCGCCGCGCGTGTCGAGCCGAGTCGCAGTTCCGCGCCGCGCCAGCAGCAGCATCTGCACCAGCAGCATCACCATCACCACCACCAGCAGCACCAGAGAGAGACAGTGCAGGGTGATAGCAGCGCAGAAGCGCTCGCAGAGCGGCGCGCAGCGCCGCGCACGCCACGCCGCGGTCGGTCACACACACACACACGCCCGGCAGCTCTGGCGAGGCCGATAGACCCAACGCGGCCAAAGGATATCCACCTCGAGAACCTCGAGAGAGAGGCGCAAAAGCGGCGCCTGCGGCGAAAGTGCGCGCTGTTGCCCGGGCTGTGCTTTCCCTCAGCCGATGGGCTGCTCCTCCAGCCGCGTCGAGGCCCCGACCGAGACCGAGGAGCCGCTTCCCGTCCCTCGCGTGTACGGGTCTCTTATCTACAACGACGCTTCGCAGGGCACGCTCGAGCTGCACCTCACCGCCGACTCGCCAGCAGAAGGCGCGCTTTCTCCGCCGCCCGCTCGCCCTCGCACACCGACGCCCGCTGCGCCTGCCGTCTCAGCCGCCGCCCTCGCCCTCATCCCGCCGTCCTCGCCCTCCCTCGGGCCCTGCACGCCTCTCCACGGACCGCCGCCCTCGCCCTCCCCTCTCGCCACTGCCCTGCGCCTCTCGCCGCTACCCCGCCGCGCCTCTCGCGTCCGCTCCCCCGCCGTCGTCGCCGCGCCTTGACTCCGCAACCGCCGCCGCCGCCACCACCACCCACCCACACACACAACGGTGAGCTCGCCGCCGCCGCCGCGTATGGTAACCTGTCCGCCCGCCGTCGCCGCCGCCGTGGAGCGCAGGCGCACTCGCAATCTTCGAGACGCGGCAGGTGGACAAGGTGCGCGGTGCCCCCCCACGCGCGGTTCGATGCCGCACCCACCCACCCACACACACACACACACACACGCACTAGGGCGTGGGACTTCAACGCACTCTCCACGCCGCGGGGCTACGCACACGCACATGGAGCCGCCGGTCCGCCCCTGAGCCTTTTCTCGGGAAACCTCCAAGAGCCTTCTCGGACGCATCACCGAAAACCGTCCTGCAGGTGCCCGCGTGGAAGCTCTCGCGCAACCAGGGCCGCAGCGCGCCTAGAGAGCTGAGAGACACCAAACCTCGACACCAAACCTCGACACCAAACCTCGACACCCCTCCCCCTCGACACCAACCCTCGACACCACGCTTTGGGCGTGAAACGGACATTCCGCGTGGCAGCGACATCTCTCCCCTCCCCCCCCCTGTACCCCTACCCCGCGACCGTACGGTATACCTACCCCTGAGATTCGGAACCCGGGGCTCCGGCCGAGAGGAAGCTTTCACCCCTCTGCACACAGCCTCTATCCCTCACACACGGCGCTGCGTCTCCCTCCGTGACGCAAGTTGCTCGAAGTGCAGGCCGCAGCGAGCTGATGAAGGGCGTGGGTGGGCCGAGCTCGACGAAGTTCTACGAGGCGTGGACGCACTTTGTCAAGGCTCTGAGACGAGCCGAGATTGGCCGAGATGAGCCGAGATTGGCCGAGGAGCCGAGAGGAGCCGAGAGGACACCGCCACGCGAATCTCGCCGGATCTCGCCGGATCTCGCCGGATCTCGCCGAATCTCGCCGAATCTCGCCGAATCTCGCTCCACAGGCGTCGCGCTCCTACCCCGGCACTGTCACACACGTCGCCCAAAAGGAGCCGAAGCCGGTCGCGATCTACGCGCTGCACATGGCCGCTGCCGAGGCACAAGATCCCCAGCGCCACCCCCTTCAGACAGTGCGATCTTGAGCGCACCATCGTCCGGGTCAGGATCCTGCGCGCCCCTCTTAGGATTCTGGGCGCCGGGTCTCCCCGTCCGCGCAGCCTGTGCGGCGAGTGAGGCTGGGCGTGGCGACGCCGTTCCGACGCGCCGGCTGTGACAAAGAAGGGGGGGCGGCAGCTCTTCACGGCGCTGCGGCTGTGGACAGGCGACCGACCTGTCCGACGCGCACTTTGTGGCGGTCGTGCCGGCGGCATCGCTCTGCTTCGACGGCGTGCAGGTGTGTGGAAGGTGCTCCTATTCACAGCTGCACTGTTCACAGCTGGACTATTCACAGCTGCACGTGTGGAAGGTGCTCTCCGCGAAGATGTTTTCGCAAAATGCAAAGGACGCGGGCGGGGTCGTGCTCGACTTGCTCGGAGACTCACAAGTCGGCGGGTCGCCGGCGGGCGGATCGGACGAGAAGCTCCAGCAGCGCCTCGCCGAGCAGTCAGACAAGGTTGTCACGGGAGAGTCCGCCATCAAGGACCCGGTCTCACGGATCGCGTCGGAGTACTCAGCGGAGAAGGACACCCCACACCCCTCGCCGAGCGGCGGGACGGTCCCACCTTTCTTTGTCGGACCCGCGCATTTCTTTTTCTGTAGGACCCCACCCTCGTCAAGCGCCTCCGCCAGCAGTCCGAGAAGGTGGAGACGGGAGAGTCGGCCATCAAGATGCCCGAGGCGGCGGAGGCGCCGCCCAGCCCCGAGGCGCCCGACTTTGAGGGCGGCGGCGGCGAGTCGCAGGCGGAGATTGCCAAGAAGATGTTTACTCAGTGAGGGCGCCAGGCTGGCCGCCTCTTAGTCTTACAGGCGCGGGCGGTGTCGCGGGGTGTGTGTCACGTGTGAGGTGTGTGTGTGGCATCTACAAAAACCCCGGTCCTACTAATACTGACGTATTACAAATTTGGCCATTGATTTTTATACGGGTAAGGTAAGGTAAGGTAGACTTCTCCACACACACGAGGTGGTCTGGTGGGGCAAGGGGGGGCGACCCTCGCGTCTCCACGTCTTTAACGACAGGAGCCCCACGGCATTCACGAAGTGCAAGGCCCGGTGCGCGTTGGGTGAGCGGTGTGTGTGTGTGTGTGTGTGTGTGTGTGTGTGTGTGTGTGTGTGTGTGTGTGTGTGTGTGTGTGTGTGTGTGTGTGTGTGTGTGTGTGTGTGTGTGTGTGTGTGTGTGTGTGTGTGTGTGTGTGTGTGTGTGTGTGTGTGTGTGTGAGGGGGGGGTGTCACGTCACTGCATCCTCCGCCGGTTCCTCCCGTCGCCTCTTCTTTGTTCGAATGTGAACGATAGCGGTCACGCCGTAGCTCGCGCATAGAAGCAGGAAGCTAGACAGAGGCCGCATCGCGTTCGCTGTATACGTTTTACCCAAAACCGGAACCAAAGACACGAATCTCCAATCCATAAAGGGATGAAATCCCTTATGGATATAATCGCTAAATTATCTCAGGAATATAGTGTGAATGCCCGGGAACAGCCCCTCCTGGCCCGAGTGCGGGGCGCGAGGGACAAACAAATTCAGAGGGCATCGCAAATGCATCAAACACACCGCATATATCGGCGGCACGAAAACGTCCCGCATGGGGCATGGCCCATGCCTGGCCTCGAGTCTGCTCGTGCTGCCGCTATATGATAGCTAGGCAAAATCGAGGAAACCGGCAACATCCCGGGCCTTTTCCAGGTATACCCGGGTTTTTCCAGGTATACCCGCAAAAATACCCGGTATTTTGCCGATTTGGCTGATTTTGGGCCCAAACCAGCCTCAGACTCGGCTCAGAGCCCGGAAAATTTGATGGTTTCCCCGGGAAAATAGAGAGGAAAAGAGAGGGTGCTGTAGAGAAAAAAGGAAAGGAAAAGAGACGGGGTGCGAGAGGAAAAGTATATAAAGCCTAGAGAGAGAGAGAGAGAGAGAGAGAGAGAGAGAGAGAGAGAGAGAGAGAGAGAGAGAGAGAGAGAGAGAGAGAGAGAGAGAGAGAGAGAGAAGCGGAGAGAGCACAATCAATCACAATCAATGCACAATGGATGGTAGGTCGGTCTCTACAATAGGAAGGCGAGGGAAGGGCAAATTTTCCACAGGGGGGGGCGGGGGGGGGGGGGGGGGGGCTCCACGTCTGTCTCACGACCTCAAGCCTTTCTGCAGAGAACGGATCTTGGAGGTTGGAGCACTTGGAGTGCGGTCAGCAACCGCACGCCTAGGCGCTAGGGCCGGGGAGCTAAGAAGCGCACCCAGCGGGCCGGACGATTGGCATCGGGCTGCGGGCTACAGAGCCCTGACTGACCCTGGCTGGGGGGTGGGTGCGCGGTCGCAGGCAGGGGGGCCAACACGGACGGGCGGGGTCTCCGAGGGTTGGTTAGTTCTGCGCTGCCGGGTTTTCCCCCTTAGCTGCGGAACGCCCCCTGTTCTCGAATATGGACACGGACACGACACTAGTGTGATACCAGAATATGAACGGCTTGGTCACTTCGCTCAGTTTGTTTCAGGAGTGCGCACGTCCCTCCGCGCTAAATCGCTCTTGCTGCTTTGTGGCACCACGCACGTATGTCTCGTGTCGGCGTCGCCATCGCGGTGGGTGCGGGCACCGCGGTGGTGCTGTTTCTCTACGGACGCAAGCGGCACTTCTACAAGCGGCACTTCTACGAGATTGGCACCCCGGGCGTGCCGTGGGGAGCCAGCGAGCGCGCAGCCTGGCTCAAGCACGTCGGTGCTGCCAAGCGCTCGTACATGAAGGAGGTTGTAGACAAGCTCGAGCCACTCAAGCAGACGTTTGACGTGGTGAAATACGGCGAGCTGTCACAAAATCCGAGCCGGTACCCGCTCTTCTGCGTGAAGACAAAAAATTGGGACGAGCGCAAGCCGTGCATGCTCCTCACCGGAGGGGTTCACGGGTACGAGACCAGCGGTGTGCAGGGCGCGCTGCTGTTTCTGCAGGAGAACGCGCAGCACTACAGCAAGTACTTCAATATCGCGGTGTGCCCGTGCATTTGCCCCTGGGGATACGAAACAATCCAACAACACTTGGCACGCGGGACCGCTTTTTATGGCCTGCCCCCCCCAGAGTTTCCATCGCGCGCACCCCCCGCCCTGTCTCTCGTTTCTTTTCCTTGTCTACAGCACACTCTTGTGTCCTGTCTAGTTCCTCAAAGAGACGATAAGAATTTTACAACGAAACTCCCTCGCACGACACTGCTCACTGGGCACGGGGATGGCGCGCACTGGCACTAACACAGCTACACAGGTACACAACGGGAGCCGCCAAGCGACTCCCGCGAGGGCGGCGAGGCACTTAGCTCCGTGCACCCGACCGCCCTCGCCGCAGGCAAGCTCATTCACAATCTGCTCTACGATTGCCGTGTGAAGAACGACTGAGATACGCTGCTTCTGCAGCCCTACCCAATTCTTAGTGGTCCAAGTCACCTCATCGAGGTACTGGGCCTGCGTCAGCTTGTTCTGTAGTACGTTCGCCGCCTTCCAGAGGATCTCGCGGACCCCCTTCCCGGACCCGCCGAACGATTCGAACAGCAGCAGCTGCACGTCGACGCCCTTGTCCTCCCTGGCGTAGCGATAGTCCCCGCCGTAGGACGGTATGCGGCGGTCGCCGCCCACCATCCTGGAAAAGAAACGCTGACCAGTTCGCGGGTGCCGCCTCTGTGACGCAGCGGCTGCAGCTTCGCACCGCTGGCCACCAGGCCCGTCGATCGAGAGACAACATACACATACACATTCATTCATGACTCTCAGTCAGCGCTTTGATCCCAATCATGACACATGTGTGACTCGCCTAGTGTGGAGACGCCGTGTACCGTGGGGCCTTGTTGTCCTAGCACGGGAGAGTATTTGTGTGGACCGGAGGTAACAGCAGCAGCAACCGCTGGAAAAGAAACGCTGACCAGTTCGCGGGTGCCGCCTCTGTGACGCAGCGGCTGCAGCTTCGCACCAGGCGCGCTGGCCACCAGGCCCGTCGATCGAGAGACAACATACACATACACATTCATTCATGACTCTCAGTCAGCGCTTTGATCCCAATCATGACACATGTGTGACTCGCCTAGTGTGGAGACGCCGTGTACCGTGGGGCCTTGTTGTCCTAGCACGGGAGAGTATTTGTGTGGACCGGAGGTAACTGCAGCAGCAACCGCTGGAAAAGAAACGCTGACCAGTTCGCGGGTGCCGCCTCTGTGACGCAGCGGCTGCAGCTTCGCACCAGGCGCGCTGGCCACCAGGCCCGTCGATCGAGACATCCGTCACCCCCCCCCCCCCCCCGCCCCGCTTCCCCCTGCCCGGCACGCGCCTCCACCGGCCACGCTCGCTCTCGCCGTATCTCGCGCCGCCCCTTGCTGACGCGCGATACCAACTGCCGCGGCAGACACCTGGCAGAGGCACTGCCGGCAAACGGCATGGCGGAGGCGCAGGTGCCGGCCGCGCGCCCGTCCCGCCCGCAGCCGCTCCGCGCGCACCGCTGCGGATCGGCCTCGTCCGCTCCGCTCTGCAGCAAAGAGGGGCGGCGGTGATGGAGGGGACGGGGTACAGCGATCACTGCCCTGTCCCCCCGCAGGCGGCAGCGCCGGAGGAGTCGGCTCCGCAGGAGCTCAACGGCCACGCGGAGGGCGCGCCCGAGGCGCTGGGCGGCGCGGATTCGCTCGACGCGGGCATGCAGGCGCTCAGTGTGGGCGACAACGGCGCGGGCGGCGAAGGCGTCGCCGGCGACGGCGTGAATGCAAACGGCGGCTCGCCGATGATGCGCGGCGGCGACGTGCGCGCGCGCGGTGGGCAGCACACGCAGGTGTACACCGTCGAGGGCGACACCGTCGTCCGGCTGCACCAGACCAACGTCGTCACCGTGCGCGCTGATGGCGAGGTTGCGCTATCGTCCGGAGGGTGCGCTGCAGCAGCCGCGGCCAGTTGGCCTCCTCCGCTTCCGCAAGCGGTCGGCGCCTCACCGCGCGCGCCGGCGCCCGCGGTGGCAGGTGGCGGACGCACCAGACGCTCAAGGGCATCAACATGGCGCTCAAGGCCTTCGCGCCCGGGCTGCAGGTGCGGCGCTGCAGCTCCGTCTTCCCTCCGCCCACCCCATTCTGCAGATGGCTTACAGAGAGATGGCCCGACACGCGTCCGCACCGACGCGACGCGCCTCGGCTCGCAGGTGATGGCCGATGGCCACGTCGCGGAGGGCAATTGGCGCGTCACCAACGGCCGCGACTGGTCCGTCCACTTCTTCGACGGCGTGTCGGTCCGAGACGCTCCCGAGACGCTCCCGAGACGCTCCCGAGACGCTCCCGAGACGCTCCCGAGACGCCTCCCCTTGCCCGCCGGTGGCGCGCGCCGTCCGACTCGACACGGAGGGAGTCGCTGCGCGCGCGCCCATCGGCCCACGCCTATTTGCTTTCCGCTGCTCGTCACCACGAAACCGCTGGACACACAGGTGCCGGGCGCTGCGCCCCAGAACTTGGCCGCTCAGGTGCCCCCCCCACCCCCTCCAAGCCCCCCTTCAAGCCCAATGAGTCCAGCCCCTCCGGCCCCCATTCCATTCCATCCCTCGTTGGGGATCCATCCCTTGCGGCCGCCACCCTCCTCGGTTTTTGCCGCCCCCCTGCCCCCCTTGGCGCCGCCGCCCTTGCCGCCGCCGCCCTCACCGCTGCCGCCTTGGGGTCTGCCGTCCCCGGCAGCTGATCCCCGCCTCCGACCCGGCAAACCGAGCCCTTTTCACCGCCGGGGCCCCTCGGGTTCCCTCGTGCCACAGGCTGCCGCCATGCCGGGCCTCTTTGAGCAGATGATCATGCAGGCGGGCGGGTTTGACGGCATGGTGCGACGAATCATCCCAGACG